TTTTTTTTTTTTTTTTTTTTTTTTTTTTTAAATCTTTCGTATACGATATACTTATACTTACTCGTAAAAATAGACATTCGGAATTAATATATGCGCTCTGTATCGATATGGATATGGAGAGGAAAAATATCCGAGAAGACTATATGGAGTATAGACGAGAGTCAGAGGCGATGCCGGGTGTGGGTGGGAAAAAAAAGCAACCAACGTCAAAAACACGAGTCTGAAATACCTATACACGTTTATCTATGTATTTGCTTGCGATTATACAAAGTATTATTGTACGATAAGAGAGAGTGTGGAAAAATGAAGCGTAAGTTGACGAAAAAAAAAAAACAAAAAAAACAAAAAAATAGAAGATAAGACGGACGGTGTCCGCAAGCGCGCGGATCGCCGAGGCCAAGCAATACCTAATTGTACTTAATACACGATATCATAGATAGAGTATTATTAAAAACAATACACCGACAGAGCATTATTTTCCTTCTTTTTTTTTTTTTTTTTGCATACATGAGCGTTTTTTCATACGAAAGATTAAGGACAGTGGTATAAATAACTATAACATACTCAGCAGCACTTGATTACTATCCCCAGAAAATATTGCGATTAGTCGAAGGAAAAAAAAATATTACACACACAAAAATAAAGTTTAACGGTACTACAGGTGCTTGTTACTTGTAACTGTAGGGCTAACACGAGCAGTGCGTCTCCGTTGTAAATTATTATATTTGTAATACGAGTGAGTGCGAGTCGTTACACGCTAAATTCCGTTGGGACAGCCCCTTTCATCGGCTCATAGCTAATCTCGTTTTTGTGGTACAGTTTCTCCTTATCTCGTTTTGTTTTCGAAGCAATTTTACTCTCGGATAAATAAAAAAGACTGCGCTTTCGAAGCAATTATATATAATACACGCATACACACACACACACACACACGAAAGACTGTCCCGATGAAAACGTCACGCGACGCTCCCAACGGCATTTATTGCGTTTGAGTGAGAGATGGGTATGCTGTATGCTATACGGTATTTCGTAAAATAAAATAAGCCTCACGCGGTAAGTATTCGGCCTTGCCTGCAATCAACGCACCACTAAACGAAACTATTGCATATGGGTACTCGTACGAGGTGAAAGAGTGAGTGGGTGGATTGTGTTACACGGACGAGCGAATGGTTTTCATTGTAAATATATACACGACATGTATGCGAGGGTCACTACTGAAAGTTATAGTCATCGATTGATCAAAAATTTAAAAAATAAAATAAAATAAAATAAAAATAAATAAATAAATAAAAAAAAAAAGGGAAAGCGATTAAGCGAATGAATTCAAGTAATGTACATGACTACGAAAAATAATCGCCTCGGCAACGGACAAGCAATATTATTTAGTTTTTACTGTCTCTCGAGTCGATAAACTTTTGCAAAAAACAAAAAACAGATCCAAACACACACACACACGCGCACAAGTATGTCATATTTAGATTGGTACCTCTCAGGGTACTTTTATTACAACTAGCGCGAGTTGGCGCGCATCGTAAGGATAATATACGTGTCTGTGTGTGTGTATGTCTTTCTGTATTTTGTTAGCGCTTACACAACTATCGCGCGCGCGCTCGCAAACGTTTCGTATTTGAACGACTATAAATTAAATGTTAATTATCCTTATACTTCGTAAATTGTTACGCATTTATTATCATTATAATTATGAAATAGGTCATGCTCAATTTAGCATTTGTTTCTTAAAAATACAGAATAAATATATGGCTGTTGGATATTTAAACTGAATTTCTTTTCCTTGCCCACAGATCCAAATTAATGTAATTTTTTTTTTTTTTTTTTTTTACTACTTTTAAATTAGCAATCGTTTCAGTAGACTTGTTCTAATGATGAAAAGTCGAGACTGTATACATGTGGTTATCATATAAACTTGCAACCTTAGTTCATATTTTTTACATTTTTATTGCAAATTTTTCTACAATCACCATGGTGTTTGGTGCATCGTCGTTTTACATTCATTATAAATAATAAAATACAGTAGCAGTCGTTCTTCTGCAACACATCTGTTTTTTATAATCATTATAAATTGCTACTATTACTATTTTACTTTAATACATTTTTTTTTTATTTTATTTAAAATTCATTAGAGCGCCTGCTACTCTTGTATAGAATCCGTTTTGTCAGTGGAAAGACTTGTATTTTCAAATGGAATATGGCTTAGATTTGTACACATACAAAAAATAATCTTAATGTAATGCATTATACTGCATAATATTTTGGTTTATATTAGAACATTACGCATCCGAGGTGGCAAAGTAAAATATGTCTCAGATCGCATGTGTATTGGCAAACTTGCGATCAGAGAATTTTTTACGTCACCCTTGATGAAAATACTATTTTTTTGCCTACCTCAAATAAAAATAAAATTTGTATTCTTCTGCTGAGGAAGTACTATTTGTTCAAGTCGAGGTAGGTACCTCAAAAAATGTATATTATAATTAATTAGAAAAAAATTGCAACAGTAAAAATAGTGGTAATAATGATGAAAAAAGAAAACAAACGTTAAAAATTCCTAATAGAAATTTTTAAGATATCAGTTACCTAATTATTAGCGAAATAAAAAATGTCTAGTTTAGTAACAAGTGAATGCCTCAAATGTACATTAATTAGAAATAGTTCATGACCCACCTAGGCCGGAAAGTAAAGAAAGTTTTAGATTGTCCGTATAATGTACAATACACAGACGATCTAAGGTATCTTAACTTCTGGTCATGGTGCGTATACGATTTTCCAGGCCACTGGCATGAAAAAAGAGTAAAACTTTTCTTGGGTGGAAATAATTTGCTATTGATTAATCACATAATCCAGGTGAGCGTGGACATCGCATAGGACATTGATGAAGCTAAACGGAACCCTAAAAATAATTTGAATTATTCACCTAAGAAGAAATTGGTAATCTCAACGTACATTTATTATAAAATAACTGATTACCTTATCAAGGTACAGGACTATCTGTCCCACTTCCACTTTCACTCTTCACTTCACTCTTAATTATTGAATTTTCAAATTTTTCACTATTTGCGGCAGATTTTCTGTCGCGTTTTGTACTTTTAGATAAAGTTGCAACTTCTTTCAGCAAATTAGAAATTTTATGCTGCATATTTGATATTTTATTTTCATATTCTCTTTCTGTTGATTTCATTTTATTACGGAGCTCTGACTCAGAAGTAAAATTTTTGGCCTTGAGCTCTGTTATCTGTAAAAATAGATTTATAAGCACCTAGACGTTATTTAATAGAAAATTATGTATTTTAAGAAGAAAAAATTACTTGTTTTTCTTTTGCTAGGAGCTGTCCATCTTTCATCGAAATTTGTTTTTGCAAATTCGATATTGTTTCTTTGAGAGACGTTACTGCAACCACATGGTCAGAGATGCTAGGGTCATGGGGATCATGCACTCCAGCAATCCTTGCAGCCTTCACAAGGGTTGGACCGTTGCTGTCACCAGAATCCGATTGAGGAGGGAGCTTCGTCACATCAACTCTATGCGGCCTTTTGTTGTGACCTTTCAACCTTCAATATACAAAAACGTATTAATTTCAAGTTAAAATGTCAATACACTAATGTTAAACATTTTTTTTTATATTAAAGACACACTTTTCTTCTTTATTTTTGGCAGCTTTTTGCTGCATCATCTTCAAATGTGCTTTCCTATCGGCATCAGATTGTTTTGTTCTTGCAAGAGCTCGTTTGTACGATAGTGTACACAGCCAGCACAAAAGTTTCCCATCAACCTAAAATGTAACATTTTTTTTTAATCAACTGAAAAGCAGAGAAAACATAAGTAGCTTTTTTTCAGAAATCCCAATTTTATTACTTTTTTATCTTCGTCATGTCTATCAAAGGCACATTTTTGCTTGCATTGCTCACAGGTAACAGGTGGGCCATACCGCTTCTCTTCATTTGTACATCTCTGACATTTACTTCCAATGAATGCAGCAATGGTGTTGCAATATTCACAAGCAGATGGTTTTCCATGTAACTTAACATTTTGTTCACATTTTTTGCATATAGCGCTCGTATTACCTTTTCTACAATAAAATATAAAATCAGAATTTGCTTGTTTCAAGTTGGAAAGATAAATTCATGCATACTCCACTGCATTTACTTACATAGTTTGTTGAAATTCTGATCTACAGTATGTACATTTGACGACGGGAAAGGTGCCTCGGCATTCCTAAATAATAAATTCAACTATTTGAAGTTTTGAATTTTCTTGTTAAAGCTAATCATTTGGCATATTTCATGAAATATGATCAGAGAATAAGTACAATAATGAGAAATATTATACAACCACAGCTTGTACTCTCAAACTTTTTGACAAACATGGTGCAAAACTGGTAAAACATCAATGCTTTTTGTTGATCAAGTATGTTCATGTGTATCCATGTGTTCATAAATATAATATATGTGTATACAGTGTACGGTGTTTATTTAACTTTAACGAAATAAAATATTAACTGGTCTAATGAAACGATTGCTTTTTTAATGATTATAATTGTAAAGGGCGGTACTATACTGGGTGTACGGGTATTATTTTTATAACAACTCGCAAGACTCATTGTAAAATACGCCTAATACAATAGGATATCTTCCCTCGCAAAGTCAATGCATTCGCAATTTCATGCAAGATGTGCATATACTTAGTCATAACCTTGAAAACGAAATTTAAAAGTCACGCAGACAATTAAAAGAGAGAGCTAGATATATAGAGCGGATAGGTATAATAAGAACAGAAAGTGAAACTGGCATGAAATGTACGATTTATCTAGTGGATTTCTAACCTTGCAGAGCTGTTGGCCAGGAGAGAGTTCCTCGAAAGGATGCCTGGTGAAGCATTTCGAGCAGGCAAAGAGATGCTGGCTATTGTTGGTACTCATGCTTTTGCTGCCTGCTACTCACTGAGTCCGGATTTTGCCTCCACTGGCGTAGTGGCGTACCTTTAAAATCACCTTGCCTTCACCGAGTGAAGAAAAAGAGCGTCGTCCTTGCAAAAGTACACGTACACTAAATTACTATACGACTAAGCTGAGCGGCGAGGAGTAACAATGGGCCTGATTTGCGTTCAGCTTCTGGAGAACCAAGAGTTCACTCCCGTGAGCTGATTTTGTCAAAATTGGGCACACTCGATTCGCAAACTGATGTGTTTTTTTCGCGCTTTCACATGATTTGGCCAAAGTTATAACGGACTAGGTATAGTATAATAAATTCCTTTTTTTTTTTATAGCCGGACTAACGACTTATTTGGCAGTCCGGCAGAGTTCGAAAAGAGAGGGGCCGTTCCTGTTGCCGTGCCACTCCGTTTCTCGCCGCCGCCGTTCCGCGTTCTTTTTTGCATTTCTCATCTGTTGATTATCGATATATCGAGATAGCTCGAGAGGTGCATCATCGGTTCGATAGGAGGGAAAGTCAAATATAAAAAAAATTTGAATTCGAAGCGTTTCTCTTTTTCTATATTTTCCGTAGCTACTTATAAAATTTGTATAAAAAAAATCAACTTTCCATGTTTAAAGATCGTCGCAAGTGTTTTTCAGAGTCAATCTTGGCACGATGTTCATGGACTGGAGTTCTTGAAACAGGAGTTTGCAAGCGTAGGGCATCGTGACGCTGGCGACGCTTTTGCTGGACCGACAGCTGTGACAGTAGCCACTATAGGCCATCAAGCCGCACTGGTTGCACACATCAACGTCGAATTTGTCACTGGACAGCATCAACCTCTCGAGCAGCATCATGCTGGCGCCGTATCCGACCAGGCAATCCCTCTCCATCTCACCCAATCTCAATCCACCATCTTTGGCTCGGCCCTCGGTCGGCTGCCTCGTCAGGACTGCTCGTGGTCCCCGCGCTCGAGCGTGCATTTTGTCTTGCACCATGTGCTTGAGCTTTTGATAATACACCTGTTTTACGAGTAGTGAGAAGTAGTAGTAAGAACATTGAAATTTATATTTAACGATGGAAAAAGACAACTACAACTTACAGGTCCAGAATAAATGTAAGCTTGCAATGGCTCTCCCGTCAAGCCAGAGTAAAATATATCCTTTCCCAAATAGTTGTACCCGGCACTGTACAGTTCGTCACAAACATCTTGTACTTTTGATCCGCCAAAAGCTGAAATAAAATCGTTGCCAATCATTCAACCCAGGACTTTTATCTCTGTTATTTTTCAAATTTTTGATTTAATTTTATTAATAATTTTTTGATTGATCCATTGCATTTGTTTGCTTAAATCACTTGGAGGCAGAAAATTTGTTATAGAATTTAAAAAATATTTGATTAAAATATTATCTCTTTACCTGTTCCATAGTGGAATTTTCCCTTTAAAACTCCAGCTTTACCGGCGAGAAGTTCTATTAATTTGCCGACTGTCATACGAGATGGGAAGCCGTGAGGATTCATGATCATGTCAGGACAAATACCAGAATCATTGAAAGGCATGTCTTCTTGTTCAACAATCAGTCCTAAAAAATATTGACTTGTAGTCTTTTCTTACTAGTTTTACATGGAATTATTATTAAAAAAAAAAAGTACACGAAATCTCACCAGTTACACCTTTCTGACCGTGACGACTACTAAACTTATCACCAATTTCCGGCCTTCGTGTTTGTCGTAATAAAATTTTAATTAAATACGCATCTTCGGCATTACTGGAAATCATGACTTTTTCTATATACGCTGGAATGGGATTTTTGTAACTGATGGCCGCTTCTTTATACTCCGTTTGGGCCTGATTTGCTTGAGCCACGGATCCGCTACTGACAATAGGTGTGGACTTGTTAACCATTACTTTTCCTCTCTCAACCGGCTCGCCAGGAGCTATGATACCGTCATGATCAATGCATTCGTGCTTTGGTATTGGCTTTTTTGTATTCGCATCCAAAAGTGGGCCCAAAATTTTGTCACAAGTTTGATTAGCATACTTCTTCAATATGCACTTGTTGTTTTTGTAAACCAAGCATCTACCGTATCCTCTGTCTAACGAAGCTTTATTCAAAATTAAAGCATCTTCGATATCATAGCCACTGTATGACATTACAGCAACTATCGCGTTTTGTCCAGCAGGAAGCTTATCAAAATTAATCATCTCGATTGTCCTTGTTTTTACCATAGGAGCATGAGGATATACCAAATTGTACATCAAGGTATCGATTCGATTTTTTTGATTGTAACCAATCATACCCATGGCTTGTTTACCCATAGCACACTGATAAGTATTTCTCGGACTTTGATTATGGTGAGGATAAGGTACGAGACCAGCGCAAACACCAAGCAGTGTGAAAGGTTCAATTTCCAAATGAGTAATGCCTTCCTTTATGTGAGATTCATCAAAAGCAATATAACTGTCATTTTCTTCGTTTACATCTAAATACTCGACTAAACCTTGATTTATAAAAAAAGTATCATCATAATTTAGTTATGTTACTCTGCACTTTTGAATGAAATTAAAATTAAATAAAACTACCTTCATGTAGAAAATCTTCAAAACTCCTGACTCCTTGTTCTAATAACTTTATGTGCTCTGCTTTGACCAATGGCTGACAGCATTCGACAATAATGTATGGCCTGCATAATCTTCCACCATCAGAGCTTATCTGTACATATCTGTGCTGATACTGAGGATATATTGATACAAATTGATTGACGAGACCTTTTCTCCTCAGCATTCGAAAAGCCGTTACAAGTCTGTAGTAATTTTTTACAATACCTAATATGTTACCATTTAAAAATACCATATAAACATCTTTATTATTTATTTCTTCGCCACCTAAAGTATTTACATTCTCCACACCAAGATTATAAGCTAATCTCACGATTGGTCCTTCATCCATCTCAGTTGTTATGTGAGTCATTAAGGCCAAGTTTTTCACTAAACCACATCCCTAAAAATTTTCAGAATCTAATCGTTGCTTTATAATAAGATTGTGATCCATCGAAAAATCAATTATATTCATTACCTCTCCTTCGGGAGTATCACTAGGGCACAGCATACCCCATTGAGACGGCTGTAGAGAACGCGGACCTGAAACTTTTCTCGTTTTCTCAAACTGCGAATTTACTCTTGTCATCATTCCCAAAGCTGAAATATAGGATAATCGAGACAACACTTGAGTTACGCCATGTCGATCCATTTTAAATCTTTTAATGGTCCAATTTCCCTGTTGAAGACAACACCGAGTGAAAATTCACACGGAAAACAAGACCAACAAAAGCAAAAGAAAAAATCTTACTGAAGATATTGCACAGGCCAATCCATTTGTTATCAAATCATGTCTCATATGCTTAACAATATCGAATTGAGCAGCTTTAATTTTTGGAATATTTTTGTCAGCTATTGCTTTCAACTAAAATAAAACAAAAAATATCGTCAAGTACTGATTTATACACATGATTAGTAACAAAGTGTTTCATTTACTTACTTCCATGTTGAATCTTTTAAACAAATCTTCAAACATCAATGATAACAAGGATCCAGCTAATTCTAATCTTTTATTACCATAATAATCCCGATCATCAATCAGATTACCGTGAATTTGTGCTGTCATGATTTTTCTTATCATCAGAGCAAGAAACGTTGCTTTCAATTTAAAGTTAAAGTCTATGATCTAGATAACATAAATTATGAGTGTGTTTACTATTATCTGCAGTGTATTATTGATATAATTGAAATTTACATACAGGAACATGATTTAAAATGCTGGAAGCCAAAACATCTTTCATCTCGTCCGTAATACTGTTTTTCACAGTTGTAAACCGTTTGATTTTTCTTTTGTTACCTAAATACCTTGAAATAAACGACTGTGGGTAAATAGATTTTTAAGGAAAATACATAAAATATTTGTGATCTTATAAAAAATGATTTCTTACTTTAGTGCTTGATTTTGAGCATGTATATTTAGATTGTGACATTCCTCAAGGCTACCACTGATTTTCTTCATAAACTCTTCTTCTGTGCCTATAAGTTGTACAATTTCTTGATCACATATAATACCCATGGCTTTGAATATCACAATAACTGGTATATCCTATAATTAATGAAAAAAATTAAGTAAAAATTGCTGAGCACAACGAAAGTAGTTGTACATTAATTTCTTACATCTTGAAAAATGTTGTGCCGCAAGTAGTATTTGCCTCCTTTGCCAATAATGTTGGTTTTTGTTTTTCTTTCTTGGGTTGCACTGTTACATGATGCTATAATATTTTTTTTGTTATCAGCTTCTAATATGATTCTGTTTCTAAGCATCTGTTCCTGTATCAAAATAACTTTTTCTTGGCCATTAATGATAAAATAGCCACCAGGATCGTGTGGACATTCATTCATTTTAGCCAACTGAAAGTTTGATTTGTCCAACAGTACACAGTTTGAGCTCCTCAACATTATTGGCATCCTAAAAGCCCAAGGTTTATAAACTATCCTACCTAAAATTACAAGATTTCAATAGACACACCTGCCAATCAGTAGATTATTCCTGATGATTGGTTGATTTCCCCTCATATACTCAATATCAACCGTGATGGGAGCAGAATAGTTTAAATCTCTCAATCGACATTCGTGAGGAGTTGTAGAACGTGACACGCTAAATCCTTCTTCGACGTCAGGTGTACCGATCGAAATGTTGAGATATCTAAAATGTTTGTAAGCATTTTACAATGAGCATTGCAATTTGTAAATTCTGTGTAACTGGTGTTTACTTGAGATAAAACATAGGATCGACATCACTGAATATCTTTTCGTTGGCTTTGATGATTTTTTTTATTTCCACGTTTATAAAGTAATTGAAGGAATCAATGTGCTGCTTCACCAATCCTTTGCCCTTCAGAAAAGCAGGGACGAGCTTCCACTTGTCCTAAACGGAGCATGTTGTTAAATTTAACTAGTTAAAGAAAACATTAATTTTCAAATGTTAACCTCACTGACCTGTATTATCTCGACGACTTTACTATACTTTTTGCCGTCCACTTTAAAAGTAGAGTTTTTATCGACAAACTTATTCGAACCCATTTTCAGCTTTTATTTTCAACAACCAATCATTATTTTAATTAACCCTATACCTAAACTTTAATTAAAAAACATTCGAGAACAACATGTTTCACATGCTAAGTTAAGTTCCTTCTATATATATATATTCTCTATCCATCTCTCTCTCGCACCTTTCTCATCTCTCAATATATATGTATATATAGATGTGCTCATGTAAAAAAACGGGGAATAGTTTTTTTTCTCCGATCCATGAAAAACAACTTGACAATAACTTCAGAACTAGAAAGTAGTACTTAATAATAATAATAATAACTTTTGAAACCCCAAAAAAGATGAAAATAATGCAACAATAGAAAACAGTGCGAAGAAGTTGTACATCACCCTGCAATATGAGCGAGAGTATGGATCCGTATATAACAATCAATTACGAGTTGATTGGCAAAATGATTTATGATGAAAAAAGAAAAAAAAAAAAGAAAAAAAAGGTGCGTGTACATACATTGTATGTTTTTGACACATTTATCTTGGTATATCAATATCGATTTGTTAATGAACCCATCTTATATTTGCCTTGGCCTGTCTCTCTCTTGCGTAACGCGCGCGCGTCGCCCATGTGTGTAAGGTATTACATTAACTTGAGCGTACAATAAAACACACACACACGTTCACCCATTATCGAGACTTCTTATCACCAGGCAGTAAGCCCCTTCTGCGTATACGTAGGCCCATCTCGGCTGAAATGCGTGTCTGTGTGTCCCCCATGTTTTGTGTTCTCAGTCGAAGGAAAGCAAAGCCACCAAAGAGAAGTGCGTCCATCCGATTCCATATGTATACCGATCGTGGTGGAATCGGAAGGAAATAAAAAAAAAAAAAAAAGAAAAAAGAAAAAAATATCAAAAAGTATATTGAAAGTGGGATCGGTGGAAGCTATGGTTTGTTTGATCAAAGCGGTGTTGGAGATCGATGATGCCGACGGACGAAGGAGAGAAACGAACGAACAAAAGACGAGACAATGCGTTTCGTGGATGTGTACGCCAATAGCGAGAATGAGGCCAGATCTTGCAGGGACGGAAAGAGAGAGAAAAAGCGAGCCGTGAAAGCTCTCAAAGCTCCTAAAATCGGTATAGGTATATACCTATATTATGTAGAGGCGCTATAAAGAGAGATAGAGACGTCTAGTTGGACTGACCGCAGGTATAGGTAGTACCTGTGTCAGCCTGCAGTAAGTATACAGCAAAGTTGGCCGCAACTACTCGAGAGCGCGCAAAATATACCACGTCGTCCGTATATGCCTACACGAGCAAGCCTGTCAAACTCGTATCGGCCCTGTATATACTTGTGCTTATATACGCGTCAGGTCGATCGGGCAGTGCGCGCTTAGTGGCCCCTCTGACCGCCAGTGCAGCGCATCAACAATTGTAGGCTCTATCGTGCGGTGCGCGCGTGCACACGCGTTTTTTCAAGTATTATTTATTTATGCTCTTTACGCACCGAGTAATTATTTGTTCCATATAGGCATTCATTGTGACAGGAGTTTCGTTTAGGGGTGTAATATAATTATATTCTACGAGGGATCGTGTACTCAGTGTAGTGCCGTTAATTTTTCGTGCCATTGAGTTTCGCGTGTGTGAGATATATACACATATAACACCATAAAGTACCGAAGGTACATAATATAGCCATACGGAGGGATGACGAATAAACGCCACTCGCTGATCGTTAAGCTGAGGAGGCCCTGCAGAGCCGTGCCCTGGGGTATTAGTATCGCAGGTGGTGCCGATCTCGGCACACCCTTGGTGGTCACTCGTGTACGTGAGTCTCCTATTTACGTCGCATGTCCTTCTCGGATACCTATACCTGGCATTATACCGATTTCTGTGGCGCCTGATACTTCTGTCGTTTACTATCCAAGAACCAAATATTATTATATCTGTATATTTAGCTCAGCACCACAGAAATCGGAATCATCCCCTATACCTATACAACAACCATTTTCCGCCAATGTTTTACGTACATCATCGTTGGTACAGATTAACATGTATAATTCATCACATTTTTCAAACCAAGCCTATACGACACTGTTATACTTCTCCTTATTGAAGTGCTTACGTGTGAAAAAATAGCGGAAACTGGACCGCGTTGGATTCGTTACTCCGCAAAAAAGGGACACGAATTTTTCATTTGTACCATCATACTATCTACTTACATAATACAAAAGCAAATTAAAAGGAGAATCATTAAGGTGAATATTGAAAAAATAAATTTTACCATCACAACTTGTACTGTGAACCTCCGAATGTTTGATCATCATGATTATCGCGTCTAAGCGGACCTAATAGGTATATAATATCGCATAGATAACAAAACAGGAAAAATTAGTCGAACTTGATAATTATTTTTCCTTTTGCTATAACTTATCGCATTGCATCAGTCGACCAATGATAAGTTTCGTAGATATACATAAAAATTACACATGTATATCAGCAGTGCCTTGATTAATGATTAATTGTGCATGTAGTAAAGTATAATACATAATATGTATCGTAAGTATATACTATGATGTGCGTTGGTATTATGTTGTTGTGTTGCAGTCGGAGAACGAGGATCTCCACAAGGGCGACGTGATAAAGAAGATCGACGAGTACGACGTGCGCGACCTAAGGCACGTAGACGCCCAAACACTCCTGCAAAATTCCGAGTCCGTAGTGTTAGCCGTCGAAAGGTCCGATTTGCCCTACAATATTATTAGTAAGAGTAACAATAGTAACGCCGATAACGATCGTACATTCGGATCGGAGTACCACCATCATCATCATCATCATCAACATCACCGCAGCGACAATACGTCATCCGCTTCAGTCGTCAAAACTAGCGTCATCACCTGCAACGGCAGCGCTAATAACGACATCGGCGCGGCTGCGAGCGTCGATCATGTCATAACACTCAAGTCGATTCGCAGCACAAAGTTTGTAAACGAGCCGATGCAAACGCCAATAACGGCACCTAAGGACGCGCCGATCGTTAAAAATCGGCACAATGACGGCGACACTGGTCCCGTTGGGCGCCAGTTTCGGCAAATTTTCAAGCTCCTGTGCGCCAGGCTCTCCGAGCAACTCATCCTACAGCTGCTCTGAGGCCACATACTAATATATTCATTAACCATAATTACGCACACGTGGCCCACATTTTAACACGATTTCGCGGTGTAACGTCATCCTGTACGAAAAAATATACTTTTGTGGTAAAAGTACGACTCAGCGTTCCCGGTGATATTAAATTATGGCACTGGGGAACGATAGGTTTAAGTTGATTTTCTTAAAACTGCATCTTTTGTAAGATAAAATTTTTACATCTGTATAGCACACTTGGAGGATAAAAATGTCCCTGAACGCTTTTTTAGCTTTTCTATGTAGGCTTTTTACTGAACTATATACAACCAGAAAAATTGATAATACGGCGTTTTATTGGCTTAGAAGGGAAAGTTGGATCGTATCTTTTTCTTTGTCGAGACAATTGAATTGCATTTTTTTTTTTTTTTTTTTTTTTTTTTTTTTTTTTTTTTTTTTTTTTTTTTTTTTTTTTTTGTATGTGAGAATCTACAAATGGCATCTTTTTTCGTAAGGGGTGACGGTACACCACGACTCGCGTAGCAAAGCAGCGAGTCCGTAGATGCCGGTGCTTTTTGTTTTTCGTAAAATCTCTGTCAGTAACAGTACATATAAATTTGTCAATCATCCAAATACTAACCAACGGGCAGTACAAGGAAATGCCCCGCAGACGTTCCAAGCGATAAATTTCGAGTTAAATAAGTACTTTATATATACGATCGTGTGTACATGCAAAGAGTTGTGTTGGCAGAGGCACGCGTGGCTTTTTGATCGAGCGATCAATTGCAGGTACGAGAGTATAAGTGTATACGTATTTGTATGAGCTGTAATGAAGTTGAGCTCCGATATATTTTTTTTTTTTCACTTGTACCAGCGCTCAGTGCAAGAACAAATTTGCGCTCGGGCATTTCTTTCAGCTGCTGTTTTCATTGTGTGTAATTAATCATAATCATATGTGTACAGATGCTTATAATACATGCTCTTACTAATAAAAACATTACTCTTCATCGTTAATTAAAATTTCTGCAAGTGTTTATTTTTCGTGCATGCCAAAGCAATCATCACTTATAGCGAGGACTTGCTGGTTTGTATAGTATTATAAACTAGCAATCGTCATTTAGTACCACGTGCATTATTTTTCATTTATTTCGAGATGGTTGCACGGGAAAAAACAATCATGTTTTGTTTTCAAATAATTAGATAATATTCCTCTGTTGTGTTGAATCGCTGGCTGTCGGTAGATTTGAGTAACTTCATTGTCAATCACCTGGCATTTTTTCAATCGTTTTACAAATTCGTGATTTCATTTTTTTTTTTTTTTTTCCTCCAATCACACGACTTTTCTTATAAGTTACCAAATAATACCAAAATCGATAACGAACAAAAATAGTGTCGATCTTCTTTAAGATTAGCTTTGAAGAATATAACGCGAGAAATGAATCAAATGTAATACTAATAGTAGGAAATACAACATTGATCCGAAATTTTTATCATTTGAACGAAAGAATCTTGTCCGGCAATTTTTCTCGTATCTCGTTTTCTCGAACAAAAAAAAAGCATAATTATAAAAACGAAAAAGACGTCTCCACCGGGGACAATCTTCACGGGACTCGAGGATGATTTTTCTATTCGCTTTGACGCACTTGTAAATTATTACTACCACGAGCTCGTTTATTCTTATTATTATAATTGTTTTTTATTTTTCTTTTTTTCATTTTAGCGACCAAATCAGTGCCAATTGGCGCCTGCCAACCCGAAATTCGGAAAATGAATCGTAATATATATACGTATACGCGCATTTGCTCTCGCGCTCATTGAAGAAAATCTCACCCCACGTTTCGCAACGCACGTTGCTCGCCGTTTTATTTATTTGCCCGACAGTCTCGGCGTCCAATAAACTCGACTGCCCCTCTCACCGGACATGAGTGTATACAGTTTTACATTAAGCGTTAAAAAAAAAAAAAAAAAAAAAAGTATTCAAGTATCACTCGAAATTAACGTGCACTGTTTACTCCCTGTGGACACGGCGCGACCCTTGGTGACCAACAACGACGACGACCACACGAGCGCAGGCCAAAGTTGTGCGCGACGCAGGTGCCGATGCTGCCCAAGAGCCCCATCCCCCCGTACTCCATGGGGAGCCCCGACGGCACGAGAACCTCCTTCAACCTGCACCAGCACCGCTACAACAGCAGCTACGATGAGGCTCGCGAGGAAAAGTACATGCTCTCCCAGGTTAGCAGTCGTCGGGGGGGACAAATACGCTTTTCATCCCACCTATGTATTTTATAGTAAAAAAAGCGCTCGTGTACGATTTGTTTGTCACTCGCACGCGCAGCTTTTCGGGGAAAAGTATAAGCGAAACGCGAATCGTGTGCATCAATTTAACATGTACCTATATATACCCATCAAAGTATATGCTTCGCGAAAAACCTTTTTGATCAAAAAAGCGAGAGTCTCGTTTACATGCGCCGTACTTGTGTTGTACAACGTGTATAGGTATACCACTGGGTTTTGCCATCTAAAAATAATGTGCAATAAATGCCCAACACACGAGCGAAACAGGGACAAAAGGAGAACGGGGAAAAGTCATTTGTTTGGCAAATTTGTGCTTGGCAGCGAAAACGAGCTGCAAAAAATATATAGCAACAAATGACGTTGTTTGCTTCTACCTATATACATATACCTATACCACCGACTTGCCGAGCTTGCAAGCACATCGCGTTTTTACCCTAATCTCGCGAGATTTACGCGAAAAATGAAAAGTTTCGAGCAACTGCGACTTATCGAAGAATAACGCGTATCGTATTTTCGTTGGCTCGTCAAACTATGCTGGAAATTGTTATACACAGTCCACGCGCGAGTGCCCGATGAAAGAAGAGAAAAGTCTCGAAGCTGTTAGGAACAAATACTTGTCTATCTACGTTGCCGCTAACTCGCCGGACTCTATAAATATCGGCTGTTTCGCTCGCGTGTATATACATGTATACACACCTACATCGTGTATTATGTAGCCGGACGAATTTCTCCATCCGCTCGCACACGATACTATAATTGGATGTAATTGGTTTTGTGCCGTAGATAATACATTGATGTACCTATACTCAATTTTTTTTTTTTTTGCTTTGTTTATTCTTCGGATCGGTGTATACGTATGTGAGTTGTGAAATTTTCAAAGTTATACGCGTGATGCGCGTTTATGGCGCAGCTGTCAAAATAAGGGCTAAAAATATAGGTTTTTGTATTTTTTTCATGGGTCGCGATCGGTCCAGTATAGTATATAGACTTCTGTGCTCATTTTTTTTTCCTACATCGCGTAAATGAATTTGGTACATATATAGATATCTGTTGCTACGTGCATATGTTGTGTAAAAAGTGTGGACTCTATTGATTGTTTCGTGTATTGTGGACACATTTTTTTTTTTTTTTTTCATCGTTTCGTTTTAAATGAAAATTTTTATTTGCGTACGCGTTGCTTGTGTTTACGTGATTTTTAACGAACTTTGTTTTTCGGTTAATGGCCGCGCGGGGGTGTGTTCCATTCCGTGTATTTTATAACGCACTCTGCATCGCGCGGTGACATAATGAACGAGATTTAGCAACCTATAAATTCATACGCCCGAGCTTTTGTACGTCATTAAAATAAAATCATGTGAAATGTGAAATGTGCGCGTGTTCCTGCTTATTTGTTGGAACAATTTGTGATTACACGGCGAGAAAATAAGCTCGATAGTTTGTCAACAATTCGAGTTTTACAAAATTAAAAAAAAAAAAAAATATGATTAAGGGACATGGATGATTTACTTTCTTGCTGAGGAAAATACGTACGTTGCGATTTATAGGTGTGGAAATACTTGGCTCTCCCAAAAGATGTCCATCACCCGTGGGTTTATTAGTTGGATCTCGAGGAATCCACGATTAATTTTTGTACAAGCTTATTCTTGTGTATCTGTCTCTCGATTATTTTTCTGTTTATAAAATTATTTTTATTTTACGATTTTTAAAAACATAGTTTTCGAATATATAATTATTTTTTAATAATTGCATTTAACGAAGTATCGATAAAACTTTACAGACTAAAAAACCAATTGAGCCGTTTCCAATGTTACTCACGGGAATCTTTGTAAGTTTGGTTTGACTGTACAAATTTATCATTTATTTCGAATAGTACGTAAGTCCTTTGTATCGATGATTCATTTTTGGCAAAATTTTCGTTCCAACGACTCATTTGCTTAAAAATTTTCAACTGTAATCTAACTTGCGTAGTTAAATCTATCATAACTAAAACTTTTGCAAATAATAAATGAGTAAGTAGAAAAAAGAGAAGAATTAAAATTAGAATTTATGAAAAAAAAGCGATAAATTAGAGTTTGAGGAAGCTTTGTGCCAAGTAATTGTCAGTAGCAGTGGTAGTTTTTGTATATACTTCCAGGCACCGAATCGAGTTAACGAACGAAAAATCGGCCTCACACGTGTGCCCGTGTGTAGAGACCGGCAGGAGCGACGACAGCCCCAAAATAAAAACGAAAAAGCTCAAGAGAGAAAGAATCCGATCGCCTATACCCACATACCTCATAACACGGGTGGGTTTATTATACATGGTGGCAGGTGCGTGTGGGCGTGCGAGTCAAAAGATCGGGGATGGCTAATATTCTTTCGTCCGGTGGGGGCGCGCAGCCGCGAGCTTTTCCGACTCTTGGAGAATCCGATCCGCGTGCCTATAGGTATATAGTGTCAAAAATCGAGCCACGGGAGTGTTAGTGGCCGACCGCGCATCGCTCGGACCAGTAGCTTAACGGACAACGCACTTGTCGCACAAGCGGTCACAATATCGACACTCTCTAAAAGTTTTCCTTTTTTTTATCAAGTTTTTTTGTTTTTGTTTTTTTTTTTTTTTCCCTCCCCTCTGGTGTGCAAAGTGATCACGAGCAGGTGTTCCAGAATATCGTATTACTAACATACGGAAGAAGAAGAGAAAATGCCCATAAACGGCTACCAGTTCATGCCCACCTACACCCGGCCCTTCGAGCTCCACAAAGACGAGAAGGAGTCGGCAGTTTACTGGGTACGAGACCGTTAACGCACACGCACACAACCCTACTGCATTGGCTAGTCTTGAAACCGATCGAACTTGTACACATATCACACACGGTATACCGATCGAAAAAAAAAAAAAAAAAAAAAAAAAGAAGCTACGCGTACACCATTCAACTTTCAGAATGAATGAACTTGATACGAGTGCACCGAGCGCGCCTACGCGACCATTAGCTAAATTATGCCGTTACCCCCGAATAACAAATATAACGATCTTTGAACGCGGTGGCGTCGATTTATCGCGTCGTATATAGACACAGGTACATAATTTAGCTCGGACACGTACATACACACGTACACGGTTGCCGATCGTCCAAGTCGAGAAATCATACACGCACACGCGTAGAGCACCTATCTTCGTGTCTTTCCCGCAAACGTCATTCGGCCCGCGGTATAAATTGGCATGGCTCTCGAAAGCCCGCGAGCGTCGGCTCCTTGCTAAACTTAAATCGGTGCCGCTATACGCCCGTACAATCGATTCTTAAAAAAAACAGAGGAGTGACCGTTGGTCAAGTATATATCCCTCCGTTAATGGGCTGATGGAAAGTTTAAAAATACATAAATCGGCAACGACAGCGATAACATAAAAAAAGGGGGAGGGGGTGCGATCTCAACGATAACGAGCGCTGCACCTTGGACACCGTATATAGTGCACACCAGCTGTTGCACGTTAAACTTCGTCCCCGCCTATATCTCGCAAAGCGCCGTTAAAATATATACCCCACACGAGACCGGCTATTTTCGTTTGCAGGCAAAATCTGGGTTATTTAGCAAAGATCATCCCACACTAGCTTATAACTCTATACCCCTAAAAAATGTATTGGATTTTTATGTGTACCGATTACGAGTATAAATTTTAAATAAATGTTGCGATCAACTGTAAAACTGTTTCTACGTAATATAATAACGGCACCCCCCCCCCCTAATCGAGTGCGCGTGCGACCTTGACAGAAGTTCATACTCGAGGAGCCGCAAATAAGTAAGGAAAGGAGAGTATAATATAACACAGAGAGAAAGCTAACGGCTGTCCAGCTGAGCTTTGCATGTGTATATACATACCTGCCCATTTTCTATTTTCCCCGATGCGCGTGTATATACATGTATGTATTTTTACTTACGACATTAGAGGCGGCATCATAGCAACACAAGTCGCTTATTTTTACACACGGGCGGGTTTTGCGCCGGAGAGTTGGTATACACACAGGGGGGCCTTGATCTATTTCGAGCGCGTGGATTCGCGGTCCGCGTCTTTTGGTATCGCACACACGGGCACGGCCGCTATTGCAATATACCTGTATAATATGGAGGGTACATGTTATGATATAGTATGGTGTATACCTACGATAATATACACCGAGAGTACATGCACGCACACACACGTATTATGCTTATACTATGTCATCACGCAACTTTTACGTTCCTGACCCATTTATGCAATGTGAAATGTGCGGGCACATAATATATACGTACCTACTCCCCCTTTGACCCGCAATTGTATACATCAACGAAAGGGGAGAATGAGCGCGGAGGTATATTTTCCTCCTGGTTGCGCGGATGTTTAGCCCTGCCCTTCGTCTCGCGAGGTCTTTCATCTCTGGCGCGCGCGAGTGTGGGTGCAAGTATATAATATATCTTACGCTCGTCATTGTCACACCGTGGGAGAGGAGGAAGGGTTTTTTTTTTTTTTTTTTTTTGCAAAAGTACAATAGGTAAGTACGTTTCGGATGATTGTAATAATGTGCAGACAAATTTATGATAAACGGTAGCGATGTAAGTGCTATTTATTGTTTAATTTTGTTTCATTTTCGTGATTCGGCGCAAAAGAACAAAAGTTTCGAGTATGTGCTCGAAAATAAAACGAGCCGAGAAATTATTGTCTTGTTGTGTGTATACTTATACTTTTGGGGAGAAAGTCAAATTCAAAGAAGTCTCGTTTTAGCTGAATGAAATTAACGGCGTAAACACGCCACGAGCAACGTAGTATGCACGATACGAGGGTATACATATACATATATTTATTTATACGTATAGGTAAGGTGGACTGTGGTGGTTTCATAAATCTCTAGACTTTTATTTTTTATTTTTATGGGAGTAATAAAAATACAAATTCCTACTGCTTGGTAACGTAGGTGCGAATTTTTTTTTTTTCTTTTTCATTCGTGGGTAATTTTATTTTTTATTCTTTCTTTTGGAAAATATAATCGGGGACGTATAATAGTTTTACCAAGTAATAAAATAAATTGTAAAAAAAAAAAAACCTTTTATAAAACAGCGCTTTTTTCCACTTTTTGTCCTTTTCCTTTCCGAGGGGTTGTTATGAGTTTATCCCTGCTTACCGTGTATTTGTAAATGCTAAGTAACTCGTATTGCCTATACTTGTGTAAGAGAAAAAAAAAATAATAATGAATAAATATTGTTTCTCTTTTAAGCGCACCAGCAAAGCTTTGGCGAAGCTTTTAAAAACGAGGGTCAAGAAACCACCCTCAACCCCCATGATACATGTATCCGATCAGAAGCCGCGAAATTTACCAAATTATGCAAAAACAGTGTCATTTACGTATTGGGTCAAAGCCTATAACGCTACAAAAGACGCAATAGTTGTTGTTACGCAGGGAACATGCCAAGAGTTTCGCGCAAAAGACAGAAGTGACACATGCACGTGTGACGAATAAAAGAGCCCCTCCACGTACACGCATACCCATTACTCTCATGGATCGCCCCCCACCCCCTGCCGATGTTTATTTTTGTCGTGCGTACATGTGTATGTAGGTACAAGCAACAAACGGCCGAAAAATTAATTGGGGCGCGATGGTCCCCTTCGCGAGCACACAACCCTGATGCGCCGGCTTTGTAATTGATGAATTGCGTGCACGCGCGCAACACGTAGCTACTCCCCCTCGCTGTCGAACTTTGTTACGGAACGCATCTATGTGGACCTTTTTTTTTTCTTCATTTTTTCTTTTTTTTTTTTTTTTTTTTTTTNCTCGGAGGACAGGGGCACGGCGAAGGTCTTGATGGTCTGCTGCATGAGCTCGTCCCCGGTAAGGACGATCGAGCCCTTGGACGTGATCAGGTAGTTGAAGCTCTCGATGTAAAAGTTGGTCTGCACGTGGAGGACGAGGTACTCGCCGACCGTGGCCTTCTCCGTCGACGTCCAGACCTTGATGTGCTTCTGGCCGGGAGACTCGTGGGCGAGCATCAACAGCTCGGCGTGGGCCGTGTGGCCCTCCGCGTCACGGAAATCCGCGAAAAAGCGCATCGTTATTATGTCGTTGAGCAAGTGCTGCGTATCGCTCGAGTTTCTCGGCAGGTACAGTTGCTCCCGCAGATCGATCTGGTTTTTTTTCACAAGCCACAATTGAGACCACGGATAAACGGGAGGAGGAGAGCGGTATCAGCGGAATGTAGGATTCTCACCCTGAGAGACCAGATTGCGTCGTTATCCGGAGAGACCTTGAAAGAGTGGGAGTCCAGGCTGCGTCGGCCGCTACTGCGCGTCTCGATGTCTCCGCGCAGCTCCAGTTGGGCGCCCTGTAACTGCTCGGGCCTCAGGGGCGAGCTGTCGTGGAAGGACGCCACGAGGTTCAGGTCGAAGGGCATGCCGGGCTTGAAGACCTGGGGTGAGCCACCCGCAAAGTGGATCTTGACGCTCGAGTTGTAGATGCGTGCCGTCGAGTAGCCTACGATGACCTCCTCGAGGAAGTGCTCACCCACCGTGGCTGTGACTTGCACCTCGACGCCCTCAGCCGTCGTTGGCACGTACTGCAGGAGATCGCTCATCGGGTATCGGAATCTGCGTGTTGCGTAAGCGTAAATTAACTTGTGTTAACAATTTGTTTGAGGAAGTGTACAATGATATGTGCGTTTTCGCTCACTTGTAGGTCCCGTTGAAGAACCTGAGGACGGGCACGGACTCCTGAAAGCGCTCGAACGGATTGAACCAGGACGGGTAGTACTCGTCGAAGGTGAAGTACCGGTCGGGCACGTTCTCGAAAGTGCCGCTGGTCTGCCGGTACTTGTTGATCGGCTTGAAGCTCGCCTTGAGGGTCAAATTGCCCCTGACCGGGGCGCCGGAGGTGTAATTCGCCTGTACGATGCCGTGTATGTAGAGCTCGTTCTCGAAGAAGAAGGCCGGCATCGTGACGTTGACCTCGAAGCGCGTCTGGTAGTACTCCTCGACAAAGACCGACTGTTCCTCGACTTGGCCTTGGGCTATCACTTTGATCCTCCACTCGCCAAAGACCGGCTGGTCGGAGAGCTGGTAGGACAGCGAGACCGAGCCGAGATTGCTCTGCCGACTGAGCCAGCGGCGCATTATGCGGCCCTGGGGATTCAGTATGTGCACCTCGACCGTACCGTCGAACGCCTTCAGCTCGGTGTTGATCGGTATAGTACGGACCCTAAGCAAACAACAATAGATGACGTACATTAAAAGTATAAATTTGAAGAAGAAGAAGAAGAAAAAAAAACAATCCGCACCTAATGGTCTGTCCCTGCATGTAGACCGGCTTGTCGCACTGAATGAAGATGGTCATGGATCTTTGACTAAAGACGAGCTGGGTGTCGTTGGAGAAGGCCTGGCCCCCGGTGAGGCTGTTGTAATTGCCGTCCACCCTGAGCCTGTAATCACCGGGCACCGAAGTCGGTGGCATCTTCATCATCAGCTTCTCGGGTATGCCCTCCTGGATCTCCTGGTAGGTCGCCGCGATTTCTACCCCGTTTCGCTGGATCGAGGCGTGGACCATTATCGGGAGCGGGCTGTGCAGGATGTTCACCGCTATCTGGTAGACCTGGCTCGGCCGCACCATTCGCGACGCCACGATGAAGTACGTCCTGTCAGTGTACGCATCGATGATTTAAAAAAATTTTTTTTTTTTACCCAAAAATCGTTTCGACGCATTTCGATTGATCAGTGGATGAAAAGGTATTGTTGCTATTTTTCGTGTTAAAAGACAAGAACGAAATATTGTTTTTCTTCAAACAATCGGAAAGTTAAATAAAAGTTTCTGGTGTTGTGCCATCATCTCGTGAACCAATGAAATAATATATAACGCATCAACGAAGGGCTAGCTGATGTTTGTTACACGCTCATGTGGGACGCAATTACGAGCCAGCGATAATTGATCCTTTGTTCGCCTCGTCTCTGTACTCCCCGACAAATTGACATCGTTTTTCTGCCGACATTTATAACCACTCAAAAACTCTAATTTGTAGCAAGGGTTAAATTCTCACGAATTGCAGCGTTTCCCACTGGTCATTCGAGCGCGGAGAAAACCGGGATGAAAAAAAAAAAAAAAAAAAACCTGAAGATGCAGCAGTGAAGCCCGGAATGTGAAAAATGCCGTGTCGAACGCTCATTGTCATCACAAGTATACGTAAAAATATACACACGAGGACGCAAACAAAATGAAAAAAAAAAAAAAAGAAAAAGTATTTGTTTGTTTCTCTTTAATTTGTCCCAAAAATCGATTGATTTGAGCTCTCTTTGTTTGTGATTGCAGCATTTTCATAGATTTTTCCTTCCTGAAACAGAAACAGGAAATCGAAGAGCAAGCGAGGCGCATGAAAGAGCAGGCTAGGGCCAATGCTGCGAAGAACGTGTGGCCGCAGTTTAATCGGCCTAATTGAAAACGGAAAACAAAAATAATCACAGCATCCATCCATCCATCATTTCGATTTCATCTCTTTTCTTTGCCATCACTCGTCCCATTAACGCCTCCCACCTGCCTTAAAAATCTCCCATTACGTACATCTTGTCCCTCACCATGTGTATTATGCCTTCGCCCATCGAACTTTCAAACGATCGAAATCATTTAGTATTTCATACGAGAAAAAAAAAAAACGACGAAAAATCATGTAATTAAGATATGCATCTAGAAAAAAAAAGAAACATGAACGACATATACATAAGCGACTCATAAATCGAAACATAAATGAATCATTAAATAATTGAAAAACAAAAAAAAAAATACAATTGCACGTCGCGCTTTATAAAGTCAAAATAGCTCTTTGCATGCGATATGAATGTACAATCATCACATCAAGTATATGAAATTCGCACTAACTGCAGTACATAATATCTATTGTACCTAATAATACTATCTTATCTTTGTAATTAATGATATTAATATTATCGCTCTTTTTGGAAAGAAACTACATATAGATCATCAGCACTTATGCACCTCTGGACTTGACTAAATTTTAATAAGTATCTCTTTGCTTCGCACTACCTCAAACTTTTATTATACTATATTATCCTGTGCTATCAGTACACGCAGTTGGTAATGGAGTTACAATACATTGTGTTACTTATACGTTTAAACATGAAAATGTAAAATGTATCGACTGCACTGCATATTCATGGCCTTTCATTACTCCGTATCTTTACAGTCTTTTCGCAAATGAATTGAAAAAGTATAGGTTTAAGCACGAAATTCACGGTAGATGTATGCCCTCAGACAAACAAAAAAAGGGGGTTGATTATTGAAATAATAATGATAGTATAATATTATTATGCGACTGATGGAATGTACGCAGTAAGAAGCCAGGCAAGTTCGATCCGAGCCAGAGCGAGACCTACAAGGCTCTGATAGAGGAGGGCTACGATGACCACGGAGTCCAGCACATCAGTCAGCCAACGCGCCAGGGTGTCTTCGCGCCGCAAAAAACCAGGCAAACCACATCCAAGGTAAGTATGACTTCACCAGAAAATCCATCATCTGAAACTGTTGATCGGTTCTCTCACGCATCATCCACGTTTCATTGTTCGCAGCCTGCCCCGTACCGGCCGAGAAGTCCAGCTGTAAGTATCATCTTATTTTTTTTTTTTTACGCTCGAGAATTCGATACAATTTTTCTAATCGTTGTTTCACCCCCGTTTGCACAGATCAACGTTACCGACAGCGATGGCGAAACGATCCACCAGAGCAACAGCTTCAAAAGAATCATGTTCAGCGTCCTTGGGGAAACGGAATACTAGATACGTGTACTTTATAACAAAAGAGGTCAGAGAAGGAGAAAAAAAAAGATAAATTCAAATTCAATTGAGCGTAGCTCGCGTGCTACCTTTTTTTTTTTTTTTTTTTTTTTTTAACGATATTCTATGATAACGAAAGAAAGAGTAAAAATATTCAGTATACGTGCTGTGCAAACGATAATCGATAGCTCAAAAGAAACGCAGAGATTTTATTTTTACACGTAAAATCGAGCCCCTGTATAGGTCAAAGATATTTTTTTATTTTCACGAAGACATCAAAGTCCAGTATTTAGTTTCTTTCGACCATTTCTTTCTTTACTTTTTTTTTTTTTTTTAGCAAGTTTTTGCTAGCTTTATGTACTTATGTAGAGACAACTTGTACTTACCGAATGATATTTTGCAAAGACGATTTTTGAAAAGTGCTTTTAAAAACTTGTCAACTGCGAGTGATACTTATTTCACAGTCTTGAGTTGACGATACATGCGCGTGCGTGCTTTATTTTGTGTATATATGTTACAAGAACATTTGAAATGAAGTATTGTAAGAAAACTTTATGAAAATAAATAAATTAACTCGAATGGAACTGTGTGCTTTTTTTCAATCGTTATAACACACACTGGTGTGAAATAAGGATTTTTCAGAGGAGGTAGTATGTGATATATAGATTGCATATGTCTGGTGGAAGAATTAGTTTAATTGCATACTGAAATTTTCTACAATCAAGTGCAGTGTAATTTTTTCCATATTTCTTACTGGATAAAACAATAATTCATTGATAGAGCTTAAAAGTTTACCAGAGGATTTCTGTTTTTTTTTTTTTTTTTTTTTTTGTGACACCAAGTATGCTTAAGTAAGTATTGCACACGGTTCGCCAGACAAAAGCCGTGCCTCAAATCATTAAATCGTCGTCATCTTCATCGTGTTATACATATTGAACAATAAAATCTTTCTTTCTCTATTAAGTATCACCAAGTTTTTTCATTAAACTTTCAAAATAAGTGCGACTTTTTTCGTTAAATCACATCTAGTTTCCACCAGAAATGACAAACGATACGGTCATAGCGCCATCGTTTCAAACGTACGTAATATTTTTTTTCATCTCTATTTAAATTTACATTTTTTTTTTTTTTTTTTTTTTTCATGATTTTAGGTTTTTCATCAGTTTCATAGGAAAAAATTGTCTTACTTAAATAATCGATTAGACTTGCTAACGAAAAAACCTTACGCGTGTATAAGGAACTCGTGAGCGAAATACTGCGTCTTTGCCGTCTGTGCAGTGTCCAATATGACGTAGCGTTTTTTTCAAAGTAAATACATATTAAATCGTATACTGCAAATATATATATCATCTCCTCATCAATCTGTCACATTATTATACAAGTGAGCCACCATTTTTAGGCACAATGCCGCTGTTACACATAGCACTCATCGATTTGGCCGATCGCTCGATTTTTTACAAAACACATCAACCATAAAAAATCCAGACGATCGGCGGTCCTATTATTTATTTATATTCTTTTTTTTCCTATTTATAGTTAATTATCTCTTCAAGTGTATCGGAATCGTGTGCGCGATCAAGCGCAATCATCTTACGAACTTGGATTTTTTTACGTTTAAAATAATACTTTAGTAAGTGATTTTATTACATGTCACGAAATTGCTTTTATAGACATTTGAACAGAAAAAAAAAATTATATTTACTTTGCTAATGAAACCAACGCGAAATTCGAACGCGTTTAAACACAGACACATGTAGAGATTTCACAAATATAACCAATAAACTAATAACTATACTTACATAGTTACAAAACTTAAAGTAATAAGACTTACCAAGAATTTGGTTAACGTTGCGTCAAAGACATTTTTTAGATTTTCGAGTTTCACGTTAGATTTTCATTCTAATAGTAAGACGCTTTGAGAATTATTTAAACAAGGAAGAAAGATGACAGAAATTTTTTTTTTTTAACATTTATAGCGCGCCGAAGAGTGTACCAACATTAATGTTGAGAACAAAAATAAATAAATTTCGTTCAATATGAGTCTAGGTTAAATTAAAGAGTAAAAGAGTCGTCCAGTAACTGTTTCAACTCTTTGAGATGCTGCATTTTGCTGCCGGTAGCTGGTGATGCCGCAGTAGGACGGCCAACATACCTGCAAGTACACAAAACAATTTTTTTTCCCTCAATGTCAGCTCTTGCAATGTTTTTTCACTATAATCTACAGCTACGGCACAAGTTGGATGATTCGCCGATTCTTAAAGTAATAAATTTACCTAATTGTTCTCGTATTTGGTTTTGATGGTTCTTTCGAATCTGATTCGGATGTAGTACTCGTTTGTGTTGGTTTGGATGAAGAAAACCAGCTCAACCACCCCTCACCGTTATCGCTTGCACTCGTACTTGCCAGACTGTAAACCGGCCCAAATTTTTTACTCAAAATAATTCATTCAACGTTATTCAAACGAAAAAGTGCCATGAATGATAATTTTACAAAACACAAGGTTTTAAGCTTACACACAAACTAAAAGATATACATTTACTTTAGCAGAAAAAATTAGGGCCATACAGATGGTGCAAGAAAAAAAAAAAAAAACAAAAAAAAACATCAAGTTTCTACGTTTTTTTAAGTTGATAAGAATTTTTTAGCAACGAGTGCAAGCATACCCACGTTTAAAATGTGTAAAATAGGATATCAACTACAATATCGTTCCTAAATTTGTCACTATCTTCTCTCTTTGTTGGGACAATATTTAAAAAGTACAGGTAAGTTGCCCTCTACACTAAACTTTTTACGTATTATACGGACATAACTTTATTAAGAATTTAATCTCTTATTTTAGGGTTTTAAAAAATGCAATAAGTATTCTTAAATAAATAAAAGTAGTAATTCTGTTATTGTACTTACGAAATGGGTTTCGTTCCGTTAAGAGCTGTTTGGAATCTCGGTTGAATGTACGTCCACGATCCCTGATTTTTATGTTCTTCCTGTGCCCAAATTAATTCTGCATTGGGATATTTTGCTACCTCTTTCTTGAGAAGATCGTAAGGGAAGGGAGAGATCTGTAAAAAAAAATAATTGTAGAAAATGTTATGGTTTTTTGGACTAGTATAACGTACCTGTTCCACCCTCGTGATGGCAACACTGTCCTCTAATTTTCTTTCCGCACGTGCTTTCTTCAAGTCGTAGTACACTTTTCCCGAGCAGAACAGGACTCTCTTGACGTTGTCGGGGTTGCTAGCCGCGACACCATCATCTGGGATGATTCTTTGGAACTCAGTGCCTTCCAACATCAAGTCGAAACTTGAGCGAGCCTCAGGATGGCGTAAAAGTGATTTGGGGGTCATCAAAATGAGAGGTTTGCGGAAGGGTAACGCGATTTGTCGGCGCAGTATGTGGAAAAGGTTGGCAGGTGTGCTGCAGTTAGCAACGATCCAGTTGATGTCGTGAAGCTGCCGTACGGCGAATTCTTCGCTCTCGGGTGGGAAGTAGTCTGGATCGTCTGCTGACATCTGTAAAAACCTCTCGAGACGAGCGCTAGAATGCTCAGGACCCATACCCTCGAGACCGTGAGGTTGCAACATAACAATACCAGACTGCCGCACCCACTTGGCTTGACCACTGCTAACAAACTGGTCGATTATGCACTGAGCCGTATTGTTGAAATCTCCAAACTGTGCTTCCCACATGACCAATGCGTTTGGATTCGTCATTGAATAACCCAATTCAAATCCAAGCACACCGTACTCGGACAAAGAGCTGTTACACACTGTGTAAGGAGCTTGATCTGGATAGAGATAGCACAAAGGCCTGTATGTCGCCTTATCGACATTTTGATGGTGTAGAACGTGATGTCTGTGGGAAAATGTTCCTCTCTCGACGTCCTGACCAGACAACCTTACGTGAATGCCTTCTTTGAGTAACGAACCGAAGGCCATAGCCTCTCCAAGAGCCCAGTCGATCTGTCGCGACTCTACCATTTCCATACGAGCCTTGAGGATACGCTCAATACCTTTGTGTATGACAAACTCAGCAGCATTCGGAGGAGGAGACGAGAATTTCTTGCCGATGTGAATAAGTGTGTCCTCCTTGATGCCAGTAGGTGAAGACTTGAGCGGATCTTTACCCTCGAAGAATCCAGACCACGGAGAGTCGAGCCAGTCCTTGTACTTGATGTGAGTTTCTTTTTTCGCTTGGTTGTAAGCCTCTTCACAGATTTTCTCGTACTTTTCATTGACAGCCTAAATATTTGACATTGGATGATATTAAGTTTTTTTTTTTTCATTAAAAAAAAAAAAAAAAAAAAAAACCTGAAGATGCAGCAGTGAAAAAAAAAAACCTTTTATAAAACAGCGCTTTTTTCCACTTTTTGTCCTTTTCCTTTCCGAGGGGTTGTTATGAGTTTATCCCTGCTTACCGTGTATTTGTAAATGCTAAGTAACTCGTATTGCCTATACTTGTGTAAGAGAAAAAAAAAATAATAATGAATAAATATTGTTTCTCTTTTAAGCGCACCAGCAAAGCTTTGGCGAAGCTTTTAAAAACGAGGGTCAAGAAACCACCCTCAACCCCCATGATACATGTATCCGATCAGAAGCCGCGAAATTTACCAAATTATGCAAAAACAGTGTCATTTACGTATTGGGTCAAAGCCTATAACGCTACAAAAGACGCAATAGTTGTTGTTACGCAGGGAACATGCCAAGAGTTTCGCGCAAAAGACAGAAGTGACACATGCACGTGTGACGAATAAAAGAGCCCCTCCACGTACACGCATACCCATTACTCTCATGGATCGCCCCCCCCCCCCTGCCGATGTTTATTTTTGTCGTGCGTACATGTGTATGTAGGTACAAGCAACAAACGGCCGAAAAATTAATTGGGGCGCGATGGTCCCCTTCGCGAGCACACAACCCTGATGCGCCGGCTTTGTAATTGATGAATTGCGTGCACGCGCGCAACACGTAGCTACTCCCCCTCGCTGTCGAACTTTGTTACGGAACGCATCTATGTGGACCTTTTTTTTTTCTTCATTTTTTCTTTTTTTTTTTTTTTTTTTTTTTTTTGCAAAAGTACAATAGGTAAGTACGTTTCGGATGATTGTAATAATGTGCAGACAAATTTATGATAAACGGTAGCGATGTAAGTGCTATTTATTGTTTAATTTTGTTTCATTTTCGTGATTCGGCGCAAAAGAACAAAAGTTTCGAGTATGTGCTCGAAAATAAAACGAGCCGAGAAATTATTGTCTTGTTGTGTGTATACTTATACTTTTGGGGAGAAAGTCAAATTCAAAGAAGTCTCGTTTTAGCTGAATGAAATTAACGGCGTAAACACGCCACGAGCAACGTAGTATGCACGATACGAGGGTATACATATACATATATTTATTTATACGTATAGGTAAGGTGGACTGTGGTGGTTTCATAAATCTCTAGACTTTTATTTTTTATTTTTATGGGAGTAATAAAAATACAAATTCCTACTGCTTGGTAACGTAGGTGCGAATTTTTTTTTTTTCTTTTTCATTCGTGGGTAATTTTATTTTTTATTCTTTCTTTTGGAAAATATAATCGGGGACTGTCAACAATTCGAGTTTTACAAAATT